AGGCAGCTGAGGGGGGCCGGGTCATGGAGCCTCTTGGCGCACTTCACCTTGACAAAACATCTTCAGGGTAGTCAAGGTTCTCTCTGCAAGCTTTTGAGAAATTCCCCAAAAGCTTGTACAGGTGTCTGGCACTTCTCTTTCTGAGGCTCTTCCCTGTGATGAAAAATGGCTATTGACTGTGAAACCACAAGACATGGTGACAGCTTTCTCTAGCCCTAGGCCTGCCAAAAGAAAAGATAATCTTGCTGTACAAAGAGCAATACAGCTAAAATTGCCTGTCTAAAATTGCTCATGTCTCCATCCTCTGCTGGGGGACAGCTCTGCTCTTACTTGTCTGCGGCAGTTGGTGCTATTTTGGAAGTAAATGATGATTATGGTAGAGGCTTAACTTTGGGTAAGAAAGTTTGAGTAGTAATGAAAGGCTTTCCTTCAACAGGATGAGGTGGGGCATGGATGTTCCTCTGGGTGTTGTTAAGTTTTATTACTGGTCTTTTAACTGCAGAGTAGAGGATAATACTCAGAAAATATGCCTGGTGCCCATTCCAGACAGAAGACTTCTCAAAATGGGAATATCAAATCCTTAGAGACTCTACTACTAGACATGGGAAGGAGGGATATTCACCAAAGGACAGATTTCAGTCAACGTGAATGTTGTGCTTTGCCTTCCGCAGCCCCCAGCATGTGCTGTGGTAAAAGAAGAACTTGGCTTCTTCCCAAGCTGGAGCAAGAAGGGTCTGTCAAGTCTCCTGCGGCCTCTTGGGATCTTCAGCCTTGTTCAGGAAGCGCTGAACGATACAAAATACTTTTTTTTTTTTAGGAGGCTCGGGTTAATTTTTATTCCGGTATAAGATTGATGCACGAGGTACTTCAGAAGATGCCGCTCGATTTGCTATAAAGTTATGCACACAGGGCAAAATCCCCTAGAAAATGATTATTTGACTAGTTGCACAAACCATGTCTGTTTCCGACCCCAGAGGCACTGGAAAAGGAGGGTCTGCGGCGATGTTCCAGCTGTAGGAGTAGAGGATTTCCGCTGAAGCTACCTCTGAGGAACAGGGAAGGTCTAACTGGCTGTGTTGTACAATCTGAGCTGAGGTTTTGTGGTAAAACCTGTGGTCACAGCACTGAGAGGGGTAGGAACTCTGAAAACTGACTTGGTTTTGACAGCATCTGGTCTACACATCAGGCTTGAATTACACCCCGCTGTTGAAATGCCAGTGAAATTCACCAACAACTGTTTTCTACTTTCCCTTTTACAGCTACGACTTTTTGAAAATATTTTGGCTTAAAAAAAAAAAAAAAGTATTTGTTGTAAAAAGAGCTGTTGATCTCCTCACCTTTATAACCTTTTGTCTGGTGTTCTCTCTTCTCTGATGCTGGCTCGTACCTTCACCTCTGGTAAAAAAAATAAATAAAATTGGTAAACATCTGATGATAAAATCATTTTCAAAGGCTCCTTTGGTTATACACAGCCTTAGGTGACCTCTTCTGCTAACAGGGTGGTCCTTTTCTAAACTCCCTCCAAAACCAGCCTTCCAGAGCCTCAGCAAGCTGCAGTTCATCCCCTCAGGGCTGGTACCTACAGCTCTTTGAAAGGCACCTCCACAACAATGGAGGTTGTTTCTTGCTTGATGTGATAAAGACACATTTAAAAACTTTTTCCTCCTTGCTGGGTATCCTTTGAGGTGGTTTTTTGTTTTTTTTTTTTCCTTTAGCAAACAAGGTTATAAATGTCTTGGAAACTTCGCCTCCCCTTCCATCTTCTAGACCACGGCTGGGCATAATTAAGTGCACAATTAAATTTGTCACTGTTAATATGTACTTAAATCAGGGCTGTAGGCGGAGAATAGGTGTATATCCAACACTGAGCTCCCCCTTAGAAAGAACCAGCCCATTTTCTTTTAAAATGTGTATGTGCAGGTGGGGAGAGCGCGGTGACGCAGCTCTTGGAGCACAACCAACTATTTGTCTTACTGAGGCTTTACTCTGCTCCTTGGCTTCTTGAAACCAAGAGTTTACCCCTCTAAAACTCCCCACTGCATCAGGTCTGTTATGTATATATATATATATTTTAACATCCAGACCTGCAAAGACAAAGCTTTTCACACATAAAGTTACTATAACGTATTTGTTAGCAATGTATAAACCCACAGCAATCCCCATCAAGTGGGTCCCCTGTTCAGCATTTCTTTCCCTCCGTCCTACTCTGCGCATTTCAGATTTAAATGGTCTTAAGCAAATATTACCATTTCAAATGGAGGGGCATCTTGAGTTCTCCCTGCCAGAACAAAGTATATTCCAGTTGTTTTTAACAGTCCAAGCCTATTCCATGATTTTTAAGCTCTGATATTTGCGTGGTTCCAAAGCAACACCTCCTGGCAAGCCGCGGTATTGCTTGTGTGAGCAGAGAGACTTTTCTTCTTGGATTGATACCCGAGAGAACAGCGAGACAGCGGAGTGACAAGCAGTGACATGCAGTGACAGTTCCTCAGCGTGTCAATTGCGATGTGAGCGACGTGGCTTACGACTTCCACTGGAGGAGGGAAAAAAAGTGGGGAGCATCTTTTAGAATTGCTTAAAATGAGAGGAAGCGTAACTGCTTAGTGCTGTCATACAGGTATTGCTGTTTGTTTTTTATTTTATTTTATTATTTATTTATACTACACCTGCTGGTGTGCAATAGCAACAATTCCAATGCAGGACTTTACCCAAAAAACCTGTGAAGACTGAGAACAAACAACGCTCACTATCATCCTCATAAACGGTAACAAGGACTTTAGTGTTCATCTTTGCCCTCTTAATTTACTCCCTTCTCTATCCCAGGGTTAAACTGACTGGCAGAAAATAGAAGTGTGAATGGAAATTCAGAACAGCTTCAAAAAGCTTCAGTAACATTCCCGAAGTACCCCATTCCCTAAGCACTAAAGCAATGCAGCTGTCCTTAGGAGCAAACAAAAATCCTGCGAAAGATGTGGAAGCATCACAGAAAACCACTAAAGAACAAGATTACAGTCCCCTTATTCACAGCATCTGCGTGTGGTTTAAGGTAATATTGAGCTGTATTAGCATCACCATGAAACAATCCAACGCACTGGGATGACTTGAGGAATCAGACATAAGGAACGTCAGGCAATTTGTACAGAAGACGGAGATACGGTGTCAATATCTAAGAGATACTTATTATGAATAGAATCATGGAATCGTTTTGTTTGGAAGGGACCTTTCAGATCATCAAGTCCAACTGTTAACCTTACACTGCCCAAACCACCACTAACCCATGTCTCAGAACAACGTCTGCCCGGCTGTTAAATACCTCCAGGAATAGCGATTCACCGCTTCCCTGGGCAGCCTGTTCCAACGCTTAATAACCCTTTTGGTGAAGAAATTCTTCCTAATATCCAATCTGAACCTCCCCTGGCACAACTTGAGGCAATTTCCTCGTCCCATCGCCTGTGACTTGGGAGAAGAGACCGATCCCCCTGGCTACACCCTCCTTTCAGGGAGTTGGAGAGAGTGAGAAGGTCTCCCCTCAGCCTCCTTTTCTCCAGGCTGAACACCCCCAGCTCCCTCAGCGTCTCCTCACAAGACTTGTTCTCCAGAGCCTTCACCATTTTTGTTGCCCTTCTCTGGATCCACTCCAGCCCCTCAATGTCTTTTTTTGTGGTGAGGGGCCCAAAACTGGACACAGCATTCGATGTGGGGCCTCACCAGTGCCGAGTACAGGGGGACGGATGATCACTGCCCCAGTCCTGCTGGCCACACTGACACAGGCCAGGATGCTGTTGGCTTTCTTGGCCACCTGGGCACACTGCTGGCTCATTTTCAGCCGGTTGTCGATCAACACCCCCAGGTCCTTTTCTGCCAGGCAGCTCCAGCCGCTCTTCCCCAACCCTGCAGCGCTGCAGGGGGTTGGCGTGACCCCAGCGCACTTCCCCTTGTCCCAAAATTCCCTCACAGAGCCCTCTTGGCCGGCGGGGAAAGACCTCAGGTGCTTCATAAAGCGGGGGGGGGGGGGGGGGC